GAAGGTAGCGACAGCGTTGTTGCACCATGCTTTGAATAGGATGACAAAGAACGATTGGCCATCCTTGTTGTCGAGATTTCTCAGACGTCTTCTTAGGTCGGCGAGCTCTGGTGCAGTAATGAGGTTGTTATTGAGGTTTTGGACCATAATACTGGCAAATTCAACATCCTCGTCCTTCGCAAGGCAATCGGCCATGGTTCGGTATATGCGCTCAGCACTCAATGTTATGCAGAGCTGTCTGATGATGAGGTTGCCACGAGTTTCGAGGAGTCGGCGGTCTGTACAGAACAGCTTCAGGAGATTAACCATGAATGAAGTGAAGTAGGTATCATCGCTGTGCAGGGAGATCTGTGAGAGAAGAAGTAAGTCGCGCGTAACGACTGCATCTGAAGGGTCCGAGAGTGTCTTGAGCAATGCAGGAAATGTGCCGTCGTCCACTGTCAGTATCTAGAACCTGTTAGTAACTGCTTTGCTGTCCTTAACTCTACACCTACTCTGCCAGGTGCCATTCTATGGAGCATTATCAGCCATGCTATGGCCGCAACGCGAGTGGCTTCGTGTTCATTCAGGAACTGCAGTGTCAAAGCGCTGACAGCCGCTTGGTAGTCCAGCTCTGGTATTGGACGCGGGGATGGACCTCGCTCCTCTGCTGGTGTGGGCGATCGCGTACCCTTGCCATCTGGCGATTCAGCCTTGTTTGCTTGATCGCGAATGACTGCCTTGAGCAATCGGCCAGATAGATTAGAATCGCGCCGCTGCGTGCCGGTGAGCTCTTTACCTAGCTCAGATAGGGAAGGCGGTAGCTGAATCTGTCCACCTGCAGCACCATCGCGGGGGCGGTTATCGTCAGATAATGACAGTATGTAGTCCATCAACGAGGCGTTGACCTTGACTGCAGCTTTGCGAACGGTGTCGACGTCGTGCGACATTCGCGGCAGCACGTGCGACAATAGACTGGGAACGAACGGCATGATGTCTTCTGGGCAAATGTCGAAGAAGTTGTCTATCCATCGCAGTGCGGTGAGGAGTATCTCGGTCTGCTCTTCTTCTGTGCCTACGCAAGTCAGCTTCGACCCTTCTCTAGGATATTTGTCAAAACCCACCTGAAGGGGGCACCAGGAAGTCGACTAGAATCTCAAGGATCTTGGGATGGTCTACGTGCACATCCTGGCCAGGTATCCAGTTTCCGTCGCCGTTGACAGACTTTCCGCTGTCGCCAGAGATGGAGCCGCTTTCTCCGCTTGCTTCGCCCTTGTCGTTGATCGAATCGTCCAGCTCGAGAGGCGTGCTGTCTGTCGCTTCGCTACCGCTATGGATGCTACCCGTAGAGTTCCTGCGATCGTCCTTGCTGTTGCTCCTCTTGCTTTCTGCTATGCCCTTCTTGATGCGCGCGATCTTCTTAATCTCACTTAGGAATCTGTCCAATGCCGCCTGCGTCATGGTGTATACATCCTGGTTGGTGTCGCTCAGGAATCTGAAGAGACCGCCGAGGAACCGCGGGAGGTGGGCGATGAGCTCGAGATCGGGTATGGAGTCGAGCAGCGTAATCCATGCCACCAGGAAAGAACGTGTGAACGGATTAAGGACATAGATGCGTTCTTCGAGGAGGGGCAGGAAGCGTTCGAGGTTGAAAGCGAATGGGTGGGGCTCGTCTTCGGGGTCTTCTTGGTCGGGCGTGTCGTGTAGGACGGATACGTAGCTGGCAGCCGACTCGGAGACGATGTCTTTGATCAGGCGGTCGAGCAGTTCTGCGCCGTTCTTGACTGAGAGCTCCGAATCTGCAGCCATCTGGACGGTCCGGGCCGTGTTAGCCTTGTATCACGAGGTGTAGGAGGCATCCTGGGTCTTCTCACCTTGCACAGGGCATCGAAGACCTGGTTAAAGTAGACGAGTATCTCGCCCTTGGCGACCTTTGCGATGTTGTACATGCTCTCGCACGCATAGTACCTAACGCGGGCATCTTGGTCGCTGAAGCACGCGAGCACCGGGGGGACGATTTCTTCGAGATAGCGAGCGACTTCCTGGGGAGATGTCAGTAGGCATATCAAGCTGTATATGGGACATGTAACGCACCGGCCCCAGGGCTATCGAGGCCGCGGCCAGCCCTATCAGGCCGCCGTTGCGGGCGTGGGGCTGGTGGACGGCATAGGCGTACTCCTGGCACAGCTGGCGCACAATGCGGGCTATCCTGTCGTGGTCCTGGGCGGCGAGGGCGTCGCGGATGAGGCCTTCGAGCTCGAGCGCGCCGCTCTTGCGCTTGTCGTAGAGCTTGTCGTTGAGGGCTTTAGTGATATTGACGTCCATGGTGAGGTCGCGGGCAGGACAAGTCTACATGGTGCAGCGGCTAGCCTATCGCATCTTGGAGTAACAGCGTGCGGGGTATCGGGAGCGTCGTGAAGCAGGGCGAGGAGGAACGTGCAGCCCTTCACGGTGTTTCCCACGATGCTCGAGCCGACGGGGTCACGACAGGGATCTACGCTTTTAACGGAAGGCACACACGTCATCGTGCCTTCCTACACAACCGCCTATCCTTGTCACTAGCACCCGCCGATAAACGAGACATTTCCAAAAGCAACCCCGAGCAGATGCCCAAGGCATGTCTCGACGACTGCCCTCTGCCCATTCTCACGACCCCCAGTGTCATGGCGATTGGCAGCTCCCCTTTCCGCTAGGCGCTTAGTCTTCCAAGTCACTCGCTCGCTCTGACCAACACCCTTCGCCGTCGTCGCCGCCTCACATCACCCTTGGGTTCACCTGCCCCTGTCAGGTGCGACCAGCGTCGACATGGAAAAGTTCAAGAATAAATTCCTGAACGCCCACCGTCGCTCGCGGCGAGAGGATGACATGGAGAAACTGAGGGAGCCCAAGGTCTCGCCCATCGCGACAGGCGGGTTCAAGCACTGGGCCGTGGCTTTGTAAGTCTTGTTCGTCTCCCGAGTGACGAGTACTTACATCAGCAGCATAGTCTGCAACTTCAATGTTGATATCGGGTAGGTTATCCGAATGCCATGTCTTCGGAGAGTAATGTATTGAGTTTGTAGCCCAGAAATCGAGATTCTATACCCTCCAGATGTGCCCTTTACGACGGCCGACCTGAGTGCTATATGCTTCAACAGGTACATTCGTCCGCCAGTTCCGAGTGGTACAATCTAAGTCGCATCTAGTTTTCCTGAGCAACAGAACACAGAGACCGCCGAAGACCTCTGTTACGACTTCGCCATCACCAACAACTCGCCCGACATCAAACTGACTTCGCCAAATGCCCCTCATGGCAGCCCAGACACCCTCTACGGCTCGTGTATCTTCCGCCAAGAGTTTGACGATACGATGAAGAGGAGTTTCAATCAAAGAACACTGGTCATGATTTCCCACCACAACTTCACTTCCTTCCATCATCGCATCTTACAGAAGATGACAGAGTCCGGACCCCTCAGCGACCCAACGACTTTAGAAGCTGCATTCTCACAGATGAACACATGGGCGCCCCCAGCACTCGGACGTCACGATCTCCCCTTCATGGGCAGCATGTTAACCTTGGACATCGCACCACATCGCGCCTTCCCTCTCCAAGGACTCCCAGGACCCACGCCACTAATCTCCGACATACCCCTCTCCATCTACGCCTACGAACCCGTCGGCTCCTGGGACAACATCATGCACTACATGCCCTGCATCACGGACCTCTACGTGCTCTACGAGAAACTCATCCTCTGTGAAAGCGTCATCGTCATCGCAAAGTCCCCCCAACTAGCCAGCGAAGCCGTCTCCTCCCTCGTCGACCTCATCTGCCCCGTCCCCTACGCCGGCGTAGTAAAACCCTACATGACCATGCAAGCCAATTTCAAAAGCATCGGCATCGACGGCGGGACCCCAACCTCCTTCATCATCGGCGTCACAAACCCCTTCTTACTCAAACGCATCGTCGCCGCCGCAGAAGCCAGCCACAAAGCGCGACCACACATTTTGTATCTGCAAAACTTCGATGGCCCCGTCCCAACACGCCGCCACCACTCCCTGCATCACAAATCCAGCCGCAACGCCCTCCTCGACCTCCCCGGCGGCGGAATCGAAGTCCACACGCCCTCGAAACGCTTCCTAAAATCCGACCCTGCAGTCGTATCGCAAATCGAATCCCTCCTCAAGCTCGGCGACCAAACCCGCGAATTAGGCCCCATAATCCGGCGCCACTTCGCGGATCTCACCGCCCAATTTATCTCGCCCATCAACCGCTACCTCGCTACCTCCAACGTCGTTACGCCCGGCGGCGCAAACCGGTATGCCAGTTTCCACGTTCCCGATCTGATGACCAGTGTGAGCAAGTATGGAACGAGTGTCAAGTTTCGCGGGTCGAACCCGCTGCAGAGACATCGGGCACGGGATGGGCTTTATGAGAGTTTTTGCAAGAGCGCGAGTTTTTATAGTTGGTTGGAGATGAAGATTAGTTTGGAGAATGAGGCTAGTGCGGGGATGCTTAATACGCCTGTTGCGTCTTCTGCTGGTAGTGGGTGAGATAGGCGTCAATAGGATGAGATGGGTTGGGAAGAGCAGTGGTGTGTGATTTTGGAAGGTGGACTAGGGCTGGAGGGAAGGTTGTGATTTGCAAGATACCACGAGATATAGAGATTACAGATTGTCTGTATGATAGGAATGCATATTGAATGTTCACTTTGAACATGCGTATTATGCGAAGAAATGACACGTTCTTATCCTTACTCCACAAAGGAATACCCACAACATCGATACCCACTTGCAGGATATTTATGCTGTCCAAAGTCGCAACTAGACTGACGCTGGCAACTCAACGCGAGGGATGTAGGCCATGTATCCTCTCAAACCCATCCTTACCTAATCTCTGGACTTTCTGATTGGTGAACCTTGTTTTCAGCCATTACTGCCATATCTCAAGAGATCCCTCGATACTGAACGCAAGACGATGTCATGTTCGTGAGTCCATTGTTCTACGTAGACTGATGAAAAGTCGCTATGAAACCACATCAGCGTTAGGCGAACATGCTATGCGAGGTCGCGGAGCGCGTTAACGCCCTCAGGTTCCTGTCCGTCTCTATCTTTGCAGCTTCGCGTTGCCGCGCGTCTTCTTGCTCTCTCGTGTCTTCACGTTTCCTGGCCTCTCCGCACTTCTTTGCCTCTATACGCTTCTTTACCTCTTCACGTTTTTCTACTTCTTTACGCTTCTTTGCCTCTTCACGCTTTTCTGCCTCTTCACGCTTTTTTGCCTCTTCGAACTTTTCTGCCTCTTCACGCTTCTTTGCCTCTTCACGTTTTTCTGCCTCTTCTTGTTTCCTTGCCTCTTCGCGTTTCCTTGCCTCTTCACGCTGCTTTCCCTCTTCGCGTTCCTTAGCCTCCGACCGTGCTTTAGCCTTAACCTTCGCTTCAGCCTCTGCCTTTTCTCGAGCTTCAGCTTGTACCTTCTCTTGCTGCTGCCGTGTCTTGTACACCTTGGCCAGATAGTATTTACGGTAATACTCCCCCAGCTTTGGGAAGACACCGAACTGAAATCCCCACTTCCATATCCAGTCACAAAATCCAGACAAGCTTTCCAAATGTCCGGCTTCAGAGGTTGCGATGAGCGCTGAAAGCCGCATCTGCTGGAGAGGAAGAATATCGTCCTTCACTATCGTCCCTCCCTTTCGGAACCTCGAGTCATACGGTACCATGACGGTGTTGAGCATGTCGACGTAGGCGCCTATTGGCGGATCGTATTTGCTGGACATCTGGACGTTGAGAACTTGCTTCGGGTACAGCTCCTCTCCCCATAGAGCTTGCGGGGGGGTGGTATATGGGTATTTGACAATTGGAGCGCTTCGGTTGAGGACAGAAGTGCCCTTCTTCCTCAGACCTTTTCCACCTGACGTGTTGATAAGCAAACCTATCATGCTGTCACGAAGCTTCTCCACTATGATCAGCGGATACAGCTTAGCGCAGATGTAGCCAAATTCAGTGTGTATGTCTGAGTCAGACTCGAGCAGAGAGGGGCGCAGAACTGGGAACCAGCCGATGTCGCCGACATTGAACACACGTCGCTGAACAGATTGAACGTCAGTAAAACTCGGCTCTGGTCTACGTAGCCCGATCTTCCGAAGCTGCGGGTCCAGTTCGACGACAGCTGACACACTTCTAGGTGCCAAGACTACGACTCCGGAAGCAGTATCTACTTCAATGTCTTCTCCGGCAGCTTTCAAGCTAGAGGTGAAGAGATTGATGTGAACTTGAGCGGCAGTGACTATGATGGGTGGAAGCATGGGAGTATACCTCCCAACTCCAGGTATATCGAGATGACTTTTAACGGCACGATTCATGGCGGCTGTTGCTAGGTATGCGGTTTCGAAGGGATCTGGACGCTGAGTTCTAGACTCACGAAGCTTGCACTCGCAGTCTCTGATGGCTCTCCTGAGCTCAATCTCTTCAGTAGGATCTGTCGCCGTTTTTGTTGAACCCCTAATGCCTGCCAACAGGTTTTCCTTCTCTTGGAGTTTGTGTTCTAGACGTTTGATTGAGTCTTGAGTTTCGCGGGCGGCTTCCCAAGCTTTTGTTTCTGTGGTAGCAGTCTGTGCCAAATCGGTGAACGAGATCACCGGTAGTTTGGTATCTTTGGAGAGACGCTCAGTGTAAAATTCCGCTGCGATGATCGCGAAATCTTCCTTGGTAACAAGTTCTCGATATTTCTCGAGACTGTCCTTGTAATGCTGGAGTCTGTCCTTCACTAATGACGCCCACGCTTCTATTTCTCCGTCACCAAGCCGGCCAACTGCCTCTTCGCATGCTGCAACTGCGCGAAGGACGCACCTAACGGAATCCGCCCCTGGTGTTGTAATGGAGCGGTATCCCATTGCTGCAGTCGTGCGCGGGACCACCCCGGTCACTTGGTTGATGAGGAACGCGTTCGTGGGTGATAGGTACAATGATTCGCTGAAGTGATCGAGGAGGAAACGAGGCGACGGTAACTGTATATCTTTTGAAGGAATTGTGTCGGAGTAGTAGAAGAGTAGGTGAGAGCAGTTGATGCGACGCGGGGAAATATTCGTTCAAATGGGGCCTCGCGTCTCGAAGCCGCCTTCACCTCCGCCCTAGGCAGCCGCAATCCCACCGCTATTCGACGGCCGTAAATCGAAATTTCAGTGAGCACAATGAGTCAAGCAATGAGCTTAGGTACCTCCTCTGCCTGCATTTATACCACCCAGACCAACACCATCAGCCCGCTCCCATCTCTCACTTCCTCCACTCCTCCCCTCCCTCCCTGACCATCACCCAACCACCCCCTCCTACAAACACCCCTCAATAGCCCTCCTCACCTCCTTCGGCCTCGCCCCTGTAACCCCCTCCATAATATCCCCATCCTTAAACACACTAAACGACGGCATACTCCTAACCCCCAGCTCCTGCGCAATATCCTCACACTCCTCCACATCATACGTATAAAACTTGACATTTGGGTACTCCGCCACCATCTTTGCGACTTCAGGGGCGACGATGTGGCAGTTCTTGCACCAGGTGGCTGTGCCTTCGAGGATGGTGACGCCTTCGTACATGACGGCTTTGAGGTACTCGGCTTTGGTGTGGAGGGTTGGTATTGTGGGGGTGGAGGATGTCATGATTGGGGAGTGTGAGGTGGTACCTGGGGAGGTATGAGATGGGAGGTCGAGTTAAGATGGGTGTTTGGTGTTGTTGATGGATGTTTGGTGAGGCTGCAGGGCTGGGGTGGAAATGTGTGGGGAAGGAGACGATGATGCTGGTGACGTCATCGCTTTCCGCGTGGAAAGAACGCCGACGCGATGGTCCATCGTCTCGTCCTCGTGCCGCTTTTCACGCATGCGATAGCCGATTATGAACTTCATGTTGTAATTTGCGCTTAAGCATACTCTTACAGCACGATGGAGCATACGAATAAACTGTAAATCACTCACGCAGCATTTCGGCGCGCGCATCATTGACGTTGAAAGACATTATATTCTCATCTCAATATGGTATCATAACTTCATCTCAACTCCAACAAGGCAATAGGTAATTCCCTACTCGCCCTTACCCTGCTTTCCATAGAAAGCGTCCTCACCACCAAGTGCCTTGAGTGCCTCAGCAGACTTCTTCTTGGACTCTTCGCTAGTGTCTGCATCACGCGTTAGTCTCTCATCTCATCGAACACGCAGCTAGGTATCTCAGGGAATGCGTACTGGGGTTGCTCAAGTTTGCCTTGTGGCCCGAAGCCTTGTTGCTGATATCCTCGGTGGTGTTGTTGATATTCTGGTCCGCCTCGCTGAGACCGGGGGCGGTGATGCCCTGGTGGGAAACTCCTTGGCCGGACATGTTTGACGAGGAAGTGATGTGTAATTTGGCTGGGTAAGTGTACAGGGAGTTGTGCTTGAGATAGATGCGAGTTGTTTTGTGATGAATGGTTGATGATGTATAGCCTTTCACAGACACCAGCACCCAGCCTTATATACCCCCCAATGACATACACACAGCCAGCCTGTTGCAGTACCTCCACATTACGTCTTCAGCGTCATCTGTCCGCTGGACCACCTATGTCATACCTGTCTTGGCACGAACCTATCTTCTCCACCCAACCCAGGTACAGCCGTGCCGGCGTAGCCACCAGTATACGCTAGGGGAGCCGAGACCCGATCGTGTGTGGTATCTGTCTCATCTCACCAACGTACCCATAGTTTTCGAATATTAGATGAAGCGAAAACCTGTTATCGGTATCTGCGCTGGTTGTGCAAAGGTTGGAGTGTAATGACCGCATCGCGTGGTGGTTGTCGATCATCGTAAAGGGTGGTCGGGAGAAACGGCTCTATCGGCCCTTCTCGATGGCAAGGCGCAGGCGCGTCACGATGCCACTCGGAACATCAACCATTGCCATTGCTGATTTCAAGCATGAGTTTTTGGTAGGGTATTCCTGTCGTATTACATGCGGTACATAAGTCCGTGTTTCCATCGTCAAGTCAACGTCTGGTCTCTGTTCTATTCATCTACATCAAACCTATCGCAATCATACCGTATACCAAAGTACCCATCTCAATGACCTGCCCGAAGGACAAGACCGCAGTCTGGGTCGAAGGCGCACCCTATTTATTATGTCTATCTACCAGGGAAGAACAACAATTACCTAGGTATAAAGGAGCAGGGATTGCGACTTGTGCCCGACTAGCAAACATTTTACTGGGTTCATTGTGACGCCCCTTTAAAGAAAGAGATTAGGTAGAAGATGTAGCTAACAGGCTGTCGCAAACATTTTACGCAACGCAGGCTTCCCCTGCCCATACCTACTCGTACTCGAGAAGCCATGTCACACAGCCCCCCTCAAGGGGCTTCAATCCCGACTAGAAGAGCATCACGAAGCCTTAGCAAGTATAGAGGAACATGCAGTAAAATGTTGTGCTCATGCGGCACCTCTAACATCGTAACTTATCTCGCTTCCCTCTCACACCAAGCCATTCTTCTTCTCACGACATCTATCCTCCATCTTACAACTCACCATGCCCCTCCCTCTCACTCTCCGCATCCTTCACCACCTTCTCCCTCCTTTGCTCCTCCTCCTGCACATCCACCACCCCCTCCCCCTTCCCATTCCCATCCCTCTCCTCCCCCTTCACGCGTCTAGCCAACCCCGCAATCTCCCCATCATACTCATTCCACTCCGGCACCTGCCTCCTTGCCCTCTCCAACTTCGGCTCCTTAGTCTGCGGATTATTACAAAGATCAATCGTCTTCGCTTTCGCCAGATCCTCATCAGCGCACCAAGTCTCGCACCACAACCACTCCTGGGGTAAACTGTGGATGGGGAGGTTAAACTGCATGTTATTGGGCAGGTCTTGGTCGAGGTTAGACAGACTGTTGGGGTCCGCGGAGAGGGCGTGGTATTGCTGGCGGAGGCGGTCGCCGGCGGCGAGTTGGCGGAAGCGGGTTAGATCTACGACGTACAGCGCGGAGATGTGGTAGGGGCGACCACGCAGAAAGTTAGCCCAGTACCCTGTTTTCCAGAAACGGAAGCCTTCCATTTCTGTGCGCGAGTCGCCCATGGGTGTGAAGCCGTAAGGGGCGCCTTCTAGGTCGTGTGTAACGAGTTCGTACATGTCTGTTCGCACGATTTGGTCGGCGTCGACGAAGATGACTTTTTCGAGGTCGAGGGGGAAGAGGACGTCTAGGAAGAGGATCTTGTAGCCCCAGATCTCGCGCTGCTTTTCCGTTTGGCCGCGCAGCCAGTGCGGCCATTTGTAGGTGACCATTTCGTAGTCGAAGCCGTATTCGGCGGCGATGTGCGGGAGGAAGGATTTGAAGCTGGGAGAGAGGAATTGCTCGATGAACCAGAATTTGACGGTGTGTTTGGTGTGCTTCATGACGGATACCATCATGATGTTCAGCATGCGCTCGTACAAGTGGCCTGAAGCAACAGAGAAGATGTTGATATCTGCCTGCGTGCCCTTCTTCGCCGCTTTGCCTCCGGAGAACAGGTCAGCGCCCTTCTGCAGAACCTTCTCGGAGTCGAAGTTGAGACCAATCTTGCCGAGGAACTTGTTGACCTTCTGCGCGCTCTTGCCAACCAGCTCAGAGGCGAGTGACTCTTCAGGAGCGAGCACATCAGTCTCTTCCTGACCTGGCTTGCGCGATAGACGAGGGAAGATTGTCGCTCCTTGGAAGCTCATGAGAGCGATCTCGGTAGTCTCGTCACCAGGCACGGGTGCCCAGCTGATGGGACCTGCACTATCTAGGCTAAAGACTTCCTGAGAGCGACCGCTCTTCAGCTGGATGTTGTAAAAGCCAGGAGTAGCCTTGAACTGGAAGTAGCCGAGATTAGCCATGATGATAGTATCCGCGAAGTGAGGATCCCGCTCGGTGGCGAGAACAACTTCAGCACCACGCGGTGGCTGACCACCATTCGTAGTGTCACGAGAGTGGCCCTCAATGAGGATGTTCTCCAGTTCATAGACAGCGGTGACATCCGCACCAGCAGGAATGGTACTAAGCTTGATGTTGTCGAGGTCATATACAGACTCTTTCGGGGCAACTAGCCAGGAGGGTGGCACATCCATGCCAAGGTTCAGCAAAGCCTCCTTGGGAATACCATAGAAGTGGGTTCCAAGGCTTCCGATGGATCCATCGGCGACGAAGGACGGTCGGGCTTCGAGGACGTATCTGTAGAAACGTTTAACAGGAAGCTCTTGAAGCATCTGTTTGGGGTTGAGGAAAAGCTTGAGGTGTGTGCCCTCCATGTCGCTGAGTACTTTAAGGATTGGTACCCACTTCTGTGCGAGCTCTGTCGCGGGGTCAATTGAGGCCACGATCTGGAAGACAGCGTTGTCTTCGTCACCCCGGAAGATAGCGGTGTGCTTGGCAGTCCAGTTGTTGTAAGTGCTCATCCTCAGGGTTGATGCAGTCTCGAAAATGCCTTCTGGAACGTCCGACACGGTGGAAAGTGCGACCAGCGACTGGATCTTCGCAACATCTATTGGAGATTTGATCTTTTCCATGAGTTCAAGATCGGCAAGCGCTTTGTTCAACGGCTCAATGCGTTTGACCTGCTCATAAGTGACAAAAGTTTCCACGTCATCGTATGAGAATCCGTAATCATCTGGGATGGGTCCCACGTAGCGTCCGTTGACAAGCATGCCGTTTTGTCCCGGTTTCAGACCGAACGCGTCGTAGATTGGCTCAGCAACCTGCCAGAATAGAGTGGAGTTGGCGGGAGTTGGTCTGTAGTTGGCATCCCGGTTCATGATCTCGGAGAGGGCTTCGCTTGTAAGCTTACGATCAGACTTGATGTAAGTCTCTAGAAGATCTTCTGAGGCGTTCGACTGCTCCGCCCCGGCTTTCGGGTTGTGTATGAGAATAGCCTCTACGTTGGGGTTTGCCTCACGGAAATCTGCCAGTGCTTTCAGAAGAGCAAAACCAGCCTCCGAGTCGAAATCCGCCACGAGCGTGACGTGAATCCAGTCACTCTTGCTAGCAGACTCCGATGCATGAATACGCGGCATCTTGTTATAAGCCTCGCCATGGGTCTCTTCAAATTCAGCCATATTGATGAGCGTGATGTTCTTCTCGTTCTCCGGGATGACGAGAGGATTGCGCTTAGCAGCAGCAGAGGCCAAGAAGTGTTGCGGAACCCAACTATCGCTGTTGAAGTTACCGTTGAAGACTGCTTGTTGAATCTGACGAAGATCCATGCCGACTCTTTGGCTGAGTGTTCCGAGCCATTCTTCGGTCGCTGGAATGGGTACGCCGTTGACAAAGACGGGAGCTTTGGGGCCTTCTGCTGCTAGACGCTTCAGGTACTGTTTGGCACCTGCAATGCGATGTTCTAAAGACTCTGATTTTAGTACATCATCAAACGCCAGAGCCTCCTTTCCTTCAAGCAGTGCGGTTTTCTTGACTGTCGCGTCGAAGTTGGCTTGATCTGCGTGCGCCAACTTCTTGCCATCTGCCATCTAAACTTCGCGTCAACGCAACATACGAATCCATGAGAAGCTTGAGCACTTACTACTTGAAGGTATTCAATCACAGCAGGTAGTCCGTATGCGTCATGCAAATAGTAAACTACCTTGGCCTGCTCAAGAGCACCAGATGTAGCGGTCTGAGGAACGATACCCCAGCGCAGTGG